GATGCATTTGGAATAGATTCATTAGTCAATGTGAATGACAAGTGGGTTATTTTATAACAAGAAAATACGATCGGGGCAAATGTAGTGTGAACTACGCTTCCCAGTCAAACCGATCCATTGTTTCGGATCGCAATCTGATCTATTTGTAAGTGGGAATGAGGCCTTAGTCTACTTCCTCAGGTGCATAGAGCAAATTGACACCATGCATTTGGAGTGCTCACTCCATACATCTGAGGAGGGTAGACTTAAGGGCCTCGGCAGACGACTAATAGGGTCGTCTCCGAGGCCAGGAAGAGGAGGGGCAGCCGCACGTTTGGCGGCCCTTCCTCTTCCTGAGGTCGCCCCAGGAAGCGCCGGCCATCTGCATGGCCAGCACTTCCGGGTTGCCCTCACGCCGCGGCAGCCGAACGCGCCGCGGCGTTTGAGCCAGGGAAAGTGCGCCCGCCGCTTTTAGGGCGCACTTTCCCTTAAATCTAAAAGGAGCGCCAATTTGGTGCTCCTTTTAGATTCGCCGCAGGGGCGCTGCGGTGCAGAACCTCCGCTCCGCCGGCGCCCCGACCCGCGGCGACTGGGAAGCAGTTGTCTGCTTCCCCCCTTAAGTCTACAAAAGTTTATGCTACAACTTCCTTTGCACATTTATTGCCAGAAATAGTGCAAATTGAGCAAATTGAGTCCACTTTTAGGGTCAGGGTTAGGGAATCATGGGAACTGTATTTTATTGTGCCACCAGAGCTCTTTGATAGAGAAGGCTCAAGGTCTCAGAAAAAAAAATTTCCCATGATTCCCTAGAACTAACCCTAACCCTAAAAGTGGGCTCAATTTGCACTATTTCTGGCAGTCTGCAACCCCCCTTAGTCTCAAAAGGTGTAACATGACTATGGTCCAAAACACACTGCAGAAACAATCCAGTTTGAGACCACTTAAACTGACATGGCACATTTTTAGGGAAGAATTTGCTGTGGCCTCAGAGCTCTCTGACAGAGAAGGCTAATGTCTTACAAAACTACAGTTCCCAGGATTCCCTAGCACTGAGCCAGGGCAGTTAAAGCTGTCTCAAACTGGATTATTTCTGCAGTGTGGATTGGACCTAAAACTAGAAAGGGAGCTTCACCTTTCTGTAGCTAGGAGGAAAAAAGGGGGACCTGGATGGATAAAATTCTTAAGGGGGGTTGCAGACTGCCAGAAATAGTGCAAATTGAGTCCACTTTTAGGGTTAGTGCTAGGGAATCATGGGAACTGTATTTTATTGTGGCACCAGAGCTCTCTGACAGAGAAGGCTCAACGTCTCAGAAAAAAAACCAATTCCCATGATTCCCTAGCACTAACCCTAACCCTAAAAGTGGACTCAATTTGCACTATTTCTGGCAGTCTGCAACCCCAAGCAAAACCAAGTTCGAAGGCAACTGCGGCCACACTGCAGAAATAATCCAAGTTGACACCATTTTAACTGTCATGGCTCCATGCTCTGAAATTCTGGGAACTGTAGTTTTGTGAGACATTTTGCCTTCTCTGTCAGAGAGCTCTGGTGCCACAACAAACTATAAATCCTAGGGTTCCATAGGATGGAGCCATGATAGTTAAAGCGATGCCGAACTGTTTTATTTCTTCAGTGTGGCCGCAGCCCAGGCCTCAGAAGAAGTTGCTTGCTGCCTCCATTGGCCTTCCTTTGATCTGAGGCCTTTGTGGAGTCTGTCGGTCTCCTTCATTCTCCGTCACACAAACAAACAGACACACAAACAAACACACAACTGCAGTTGGCCTCACACTAGTCTGGCCTACAGAGCAGGGCAAACCCCACAGGTAAACTCTGGACCCAGAGGTAGAGTCACCTGGGAGTAAAAGTTCCCCACTGAGTGACCTTGGGTGAGGCACACTCTCTCAGCCTCAGGGGGAGGCCATGACAACCCTCCCCTGAACAAATCTTGCCAGGAAAACCCCATGAAAACCCCTTCTTAGGGTTGCCATAAATCATCAGAAAGGCATACAACCCACATGCACAAAAGCCCCCTTCAGTGAAATGTGACACACAGAGGCCCTGTCTTCCCTCCTTTCCTTGCCTCTCTTTTGTTTTGCTTATTAATTTCCCTCAGAAATTAGCAAGATCCTTAGCTGAGTCTTCAAGGCAGTAAGTATTGTGTCAGTTATTGTCATTGTTGTCATTGTTGTTGTGTGCCTTCCAGTTGTTTCTGACTTATAGCAACCTTAAGGCAGACTAAACCAGACTATTATTTAATGGGCCTTACTTTTACGCAAATATCTGTGTCAGGGCCTTATATAAAGCTGACCCTGTCTATATTCCTCCCCATGTTGGCCTCTAAGGTCTCTCGTTTCTTTTTGATTCCATGGTTTGATTAATCCTTAAAATGTTGCTTTTATTATTAGTAGTATGGCTTTTAAACATCTTGATATTTTAACATATTTTAGGTGGGCTTTGTTGTTTTATTGACTGACTGGTTTTTCTTTTTTTAATGAATGTAAAACTACCCCAATTGCATTTGCCAGACAGTACACCTATATATATATATATATATATA